CCCAACTGTTTTTGGACGGATCAATATCAAATGAACGTTTTCAAACATTAGAAAATGTAATTAAGACGAAGAATATCAACTTTTAAAAGGGAATAGTTTATATTTAATTATAGCATTCGCATTAGCTACATAGATAGAGTTCGAATATCTCAAACTATTGTATGAGATGGTCAAATTGTTATGCCAGTTGATCGTATTTTTCAACAAAATATATATTTATGCTATGAAGTGTCATACTACTGTTTATATTATTTTTAAGTATGACATTTCAATTTAAAAATACACACATATATATATATATATTTATATCAATTCCATTTTCATTTGATATATTCCACTTTGCGTAAAAGTCTCATCGTTCTGATATATATTCTACTTTCATTTGATTTTTTCATATTGAGAGAGATATAATATACATATATATAGTCACACACTCAGCTCTTACTAAAACTTTTCACAAAGAAAACTCACTTATCTTAATACATATTTATGACTTCAAATGTCACAAATTAAACTCGAATATTTCCATAGTCAAAATCCTTTATCATTATATTCAAATCCAAAATCTAAATTCAACGTCTTTGATGACATTTTTCTTCTACATAAAATAATCTTTAATTCCATGTGATTGGTCAAATTAATTATCCACATATAATGGCCGCCCATTCTCAATCCTCCATCTTGTGATTCCAACTAAAATTATCCACATAATTTATGGTGTGACCATTTTGATTTATTATTTTATACAAAAGTNATCTTTTTTTTCCCCTCATTTTTCTCCTCTCAAACAATGAAGAAAACAAGCTCAAACCCTAGCTCCATTGAAGCCCGTTTGGCTTTCAACTTTCTCCGGGCCATAAAGAAAATCACGAGCAGCCCACGAAAACCGTCCTCGGCCCACAAAGCCAAGAGGCCCAGTGAAATACGGGCCGCGGCCTATGCATCCATGGCTTCCGTGGCCGGCCCGAATAAGGCCTGGAGTCGAGCCCTTCTCAGGAATATCAAGAACCGCCGGAGGCAACGGGCCCAACGTGATCCGGCCCGAAACAATGGTGGGCCCGAAAAGGATCTCCGGGAGCTAGTCCCAGGTGGCAAATCCCTGGACATGGCAAAGCTGTTGAATGAAACGGGCCACTATATAAAGTGCCTTCGGGCCCAAGTGGAGGTCATGAGAAAGATTGTTGATTATTCTTCTTCTTCTTCTTCAAAATGAGCGTGATATGCATATAGAGAATTAATTAATATTTGTTGAAAAGCAAGAAATACAGTATGAATATATATATACAAATATGTATATGTGTGTGTATACATATGTATATATACTGTATATCTCTCAATGGGTATCATATATATCCAAGGGATTTTGTTTTATATTCTGGCCAGCTGGAGAGGATAAAATTTCTTTTCCCAATTTAAATTTTTATCTAAATTGCCTAAAAAGAAAGGCTTGTCTCAAGACATATAGGTTTTGATTATGTACCCTATATGTATTTTTTATTCAGTAATGAATTGATGATCAAGACATGTATTGGTGTATGTCTTAATTTATAGGCTTATATAGCATTGATGACCAGATTATAATTAATATAACCTGGTCACAGTTATTGGTGTATGTTCGCTTGGTTATTATGATGTTTATTATGAACATAAATTTCGTGTATGTTCTCTTGGTGGCTAAATTTCATTTTTAGTACACTATATTGACCATTTTTCATAAAACGTTCATCATATAGGGTGTTATAAAAAATGATCCACTATGTTGTCACTTTAATCAAAACTCATACAATAGCCAACATAGTGTACTAAAAATGACAATTAAAAATGATCACTTTTAGTACATTAAGTTTGTTTTGTATGAGTTTTGATTAAAATGGAAATTTAGTGAATCATTCTTGATGACGCCATATATGATGAACTTTTTTCTGAAAATGACCAACATATATAGTAGATCAATTTTGAAATTTTGCCTTCTCTTGGTTATTATGGTGGTGTAAGAATTTATTAACATAAATTTGTGTTGAGCAGCCTAATTGTTAGATTGTTGGAATCTTCATATTTTTTAACAAAAATGCATAATTACGTTCTTAATTAAAAAATCTCCCTAACAGTACCCTTATNTGTAACGTGGAAATGGATATTTAGGCCAAATTGGAAACTGCAAAATCTATCTTGTCTTATTCGCTTTTTTCTTTTATCTTTTTTCATTTTTAGGTGTAAATCCTTATTGTACTTGCCAATTATATATTCAAATATATTATTAAGATAAGTTTAAAGACATATCAGCTGCTTACTTGGTTACTTTTACAACGTGCAGAACCACGCACACTGCGGAAAATGTTCACACTACGGAAAATTCGTGTCTCCTTCTGAGGACAGGGTTAATAATTGGATCAAACACATATATATCATGTCTCTTAATGAGGGCTGGGTTTAATATTTGGAATTAGAGGTGGCCAAAACATGGGCCGGGCCGGGCTGGAATCATGGACCCGGAACTGGCACGGACCTAGACTTGTGCCGAGAGTTTGGGCCCATCCACATAAAAATAAAAAAATAAAATTAAAAAAGCAAACAAAATATGTAGTTTTTTCCGCGCTGGCCTACGGTAAAAAAAACAAGGCCCGAAACCGACTCGGTTAAAATTCAAATCGGGCCCGGACTCTTGGTCAACGGGCTTGACTGGGCCGGATCCGGGCTGAGCGGTGCGCGGCCATGTTTAGTTGGAATTGTTAGAAAATTAATTAATTAATTAAAATTATGCTTTGACTGCTTTTTTATGGCTAAAATTTAATTCAAGTTAAATTAAACTGTGTAGAAAATTCTATGTTTCGAGTAGATACTTGGTGTATTTATTTTTTGATTCATAGATACTTGGTCCGCGGCCATGTTTAATGATTAAAACTAATCATTAATGGACACGTAACAATGGTGGTGGGATTCGAATGGTCAAGAGATCTATCCCACATTGAACAGCTAAATGAGAATAACTTTTTTTTATTATTATAATAAAAGAGTTGTAGAGGTCACAACAAAAATTAAAGTTATGTACCAAGTGTTAGTGTTAGCTTCGGTCACAAGCGTGCGTCTGTCGGCCGTCCCGGCTCGGCTCGAGCACGGTGACTTGAACCTTGGTACTTGGTATTGACAATGGTCTGGGCCGGTGTTAGGCTTGGCCCAAATCCTATTTTTGGACTTGCGTTCGGACGCAACCCGTGTGACATTAACTAGATTCACTCAACTTGGGCGTATTTGATTCGACCCAACAATTTCAGTAATTAATAGGTGCAGTGTTATATGTAAACACCTAAAAACGGTGAAGTTGTTTTATGCTCATTTCGATAGCCATAATTGGATCATTACTTGCTTTTAGTGGCAGCTGACCTTTGGTCATTCTTGTCTAGGTGGAAGTCCTATATATAGGGGACATGTTTAGAGCTGCAGAAATACACATAACATCATATGCATACTTGCTCCTCTGGAAAGAGTCACGCATCATAACATACCGTGTCCAGTTCTTGACTTTATTCTAGTTCGTCGGAGCTTTGAAGTTTGGTGTGCTACGATTTTCGAGACGAATTTTCGTTGTATCTTTGGGGACATGAAGCTCATACCCGTCAGCACTACACGTACAGGCATATTTGTCTTACAGAAAAAAAAAAAAAATATTTCCGATCGACTATACTCTCATGCTTTCTGTTCTATTGTAATTTTTAATTTATATTGTAAATTTAAAATTAGTTGTCACATTTGAAATGAACCTTAAAATATTGGGGCCATTTAATATCAAAAGTCCTAGTCTTCTACCATATCGTGGAAATCTACTCATTATGACCAATTTTAGTAGCAAATTAACCCCAGAGCCTTCATTTCTTTGGTCAATACATGTGTTTACGTATGATTTCGCTGTCATATATTTTGACATATATTTAGTTATATATTTGTTCTTTCCTCCGTTTTTCTTTTGAAAAAAATGGTTCTTTTTGCTAATATAGATTTAGTTCTTGTCATTTTCGAATTATTGAATGAAGTGTAAAGTTCAATACAAGATGTTTTCTGCCGACCTGAAATTAAGAGTCAACTAATATTATTATCAAGATACGTTCACCCACAAAATATTGACAGATCATATGCTTAAAAGTGATGTATCCCATACAAGAAAATGTGTGTTGGACATATACTAGACTTTTGAAAAAGGGTAAACTAAAAATATAGTATGTGATATAGCCAGCTAGATTGGCTCATTATGAGCTTGGTTTAGATCGGTTTGGGTTTTAGCTTAGAGGAGTAGATGCAAAGGTCGATCTAAGATTATTATTTCTTTATAGATGAAAACTAATTGCGAGGGCGATCCAGAAAAAATAGATGAAAATATAGGACATCCAAAATCGAAAATTGAAATCGCTAAATTCGCAACCGAGGTAGCTTAGACCAATTTTTAGTCCCTTCAATGTTATTTCAAAACTAGTATATAAGACAAGCATTTCTGACATTAATCATCAAAATGAATCTTTTAATTAAATTTCAAATTTAAGGAAAAACTTATTATGTACATCTAATTACAAAAATTAGTTATTATTTTCTATTCGATTTAAATTTAGCCATCTAAATAAAGGAAATGTGATTTTATAATAAAACTAAATTAGAATCCTTTGAAGAAACTCATAACTGTGTCACTTTATAAATCCGTTGCAAAATTATGTTATAGTACTATAATTATGGCACCAATATAATCTGTTACAAAATTTCGTTACTAATTTACCAAATTCTAGTAGTGTTAAAAGGAAAGAAAACCTTCCTATAGAAGAAAAAGAAGACATATTGGTAGATCATCGAGTGATTTTCCCAATTTAGTGGGATTTTATGTGAATTCGAGAGCTCTAGTCACTACAAGAATAATCATTTTTACTGGTTAAAATTTTTGTCGCTATATGTTCAAATGTCGTAACAAAATATACGTCGCTAAAAATGTCGCTATATGTTCGAATGTCGTCACAATAATCATTTTATAGTCATGACATTAATGTTGTCACTAAAATTAGTGTCGCTAATAATGATTATTCTTGTAGTGCGTCCGATAGCCCGGTGAAGAGGTAACTCATTTCTCTATAAATAGAACTTCAACATCTATACTTATATTAAAAGGTATACCATTTACCAGATTTAGTATAAAGAAAAGTCAACAACATTTATTGCATTACTATTTCCGTATTATACAATCTATATTTATATAAAAGGAGATTCTATTTACTACATTTACTATCTAGAAAAGTCAACTGCATTAAATGTCATTAATATTTTGGTATTATAATATTTTATTTATTTAATTGATTTATTTATTTATTTTATTTTAAAAAGGTAAGTATAAAAAAAGGATTTTAATAATAAAAAAATCAAATACCAAATAAAAATGTACACTTTGACTTATTTGATTATATTTGGTATTTGATTATACCAAATATATTCCTATTTAGTATATACATTAAATACTTACTAAAGTATTTATTTGTTTTATTTGTCAAAGTTAAGTATAGATTTGTTTATATTATCAAATCATAAAAAAATATTAAATCCATATTGTAAAAAAAAAATCATATAATTTTATAACAATTCTACTACACTATTTAACAATATTTCTTTTTTATTATATAATAAAATCATAATTAAATATTATATGGTGAACAACAATAAGTAAAACTTTTACTTTCTCTTATATCAAGGGATATATTTATATGCTAAAATTAAATTTTTATTAGTATAAATGTTTTAGTGAGATAATATATTAATTATTTTACAAGCTAGCCCTAACATGCTCATATTTAATGTTTTAAAAGATGTAGAAAAAACACTTATAATAACTCTATTGTTTTTTAGACTTAAACGTTGATTAAAGGAGGTAAAAATTCCTAATTTTTTAGACTTAAACGTTGATTAACACCATAGATTGAGAGTTTATATTTAGTAAAATTCCTAATTGTAATAAAAAAATAATTTTTGCTATATTTTAGAATATCTTTAAATTCATTATAAAAAAAAAGAAAAAAAACTACAATGAAAAAAGCAAGTCAGCTATATATCGATTTGTTGTACTCCTCAAAATCACATTCACAATTTAGCTACAAGGAAAGGAAACTCATTGATTAAAATATTATTTTCTCAGTAGTCTTAATGTACAAGAGACTTTAAGACTCCACTTGAATATTATAAAACTTTTATTGAACATTGTACAATTTTCTTGCGTAATATAAACTTTTATTGAATATTGCATCTTAAAATATAATATTCTCCAAATAAATATATCTCGTGTTTCGCACGGGTCACGTACTATATATATCCCGTACATTTTTTCTTTATTTATGTATATAATTATAAGTCTCGATAAATAGCCTTAAAATTGTGCATCGCACAGGCTCTGTACTAGTAAATGAAAATCATATTTTCGATTTATCATCTCTTGTGCACGTAAAGTCGTAAATTGAGCTTTGGAATATTTATGTTGGGAGCCTCGACTTCTATACTTTGCAGATCTTTGAAATCGGGTCATGATCGAAAGACACGAAAAAATAAATAAAAGGTCACAAATTCCCTAATAATAAATTAAAATGAAGAATATTATCATATCATTTAACAAAAGTGACTCGCAAGCACTAAGCTGGCACAAGTTTGGGAGTTGCTTTGAGAGAATTCTGATTCATCTTAGATTAAGCCATTTAATATCAATTTTCCATATCTTTTTTCCAACCAAATCTTTCTATAGTAATATGTAAATTTCATTTCTAAATCTACTCCATTATTTATTTATTTTATTTTATTGTGATATTGCATAATGTATACAGATATTCATTAGATTAGAACACAGAAAGTTGTGGCGATTCCATGTGCTTGCATGTTATTTGCAGAAAACTATCACGCATGAGAATTATTTAATTGAACATGTGCACTATTAGAAAAAGTGGCAAGTATTTTCTTGCAATCTAGAATTTGTCGTTTGAAAAACACGTACATTATAATTATATATTTGCATAGTAATAATAGCACTTACATCATAATTAGTTAAATACCAAAAAAAAATAAAAAAAATAAAGATAGTCTAATAATTACAGAGGTGCAATTATACTGCGTGAATAAAAATATATTATGGATTTATAAAGAAAAATTTATAGTATGAAATTTAGGGCGTGCTTGGATACAAATATATCCGCTTAAAAAGAGTTTTTTTCTTGTTAAAAAATAAAGATAGTCTAATAATTACATAGGTCCAATTATACTGTGTGAATAAAAATATAATATAGATTTTACTAAGGAATAATTAATAATATGAACTTTAGGGCATTCTTAGATACAAATTTATCAGCTTAAAACGAGTATTTTTTGTTAATCATGGTTAATTTTGAATAATATGATATTATTAGTTGTTAGTGAAATTTTGAGTTTATATTAAAAAACACTTAAAATAAAATAATTAAAGTTGATTGAATGTAAGAGTAGAAAAAAAGATGATGTGGAGTAATAGTTATTTAAAAAAAATAATTGGTTAAAAATTATTGGAATTTTTTGAAACAAATTGTATCGAAGCATCACCCTAAATCCTAAAATAAAAATCTTTAAAAAGCATCAAAAAGGTAAAAACATTACAGACCTAAAACAATTATATATACATATACATTAGGGAACCTAAAATTAATTTTTTGATGGAATTTGATTTATTAGATAAAATGAGTTAAAGATGAAAACAATTTGATTAAGTAAAAATTTGAATTGTAAGTGATATGAGTTAAAATGCAATGACTCATTGTTATGAGTTAAAAATTTGAGTAATGGTAGCGTGGTTCGAGCCATCCGAGAATTGCTCAGTCGAGATTGAGTGACTTCAATGACTCATTGTTATAGAGAAGCTAACTTTGCGGCAGATTGTTTGGCCTCTCTGGCTCATTGTTGTCCTGCTGGATGTCAGAGATTATCAGACCCACCATCAGTTGTGAAACCGTGGCTACAACATGACCTAATTGGCGTTGCTTACCCACGGAATGTAACTCTCTGATGGCCCTAGGCTTTTGTCTCTTCTCTTTGTACCAAAAAAAAATACAATGAGTAAAATAATGTGATATAAAAATAGTAAAATTAATGAATGATAGTATATATGAATGGATAAATAGTGAATTTTTTAAAAAGTTATGTGGTAATGATTAATTGATATTATTTAAATAAATTGATAATTTTGTATTTATTCATAGTTCCAACCCCCAAAAAAAATATTCGGCCAGTAACTAAAAAAACAAATTGTATCAAATCGCAACCATAACTCATGCCGTAAAAACTACAAATACTAAAAAAACCCTACTAACATCCATGAAAATTTGATCCATGCTAGAAAAACTAAAAGAAGTGTAAACCTGCAGTTAGAACCCTAAAAACTGAAAAATATTACTAAAAAGGTCAATATTCTACTTCAATTAACCAATCACTATGTCATCCATTCAATTAGTGTAAGTCTAAGTGAATTTCATCCTACCTGCATATATAGCCAGTTAAGTGTCCACAGGAGTTTTTATTTTTTTGTTTTTGTTTTTTCGGTTCGATCACACATTAATATGAAGACATATACGCAGCCGATGCAAGAAGACTAAACGAAAACTGTACAAGTAATATAATATAGCTTCCTCCTCAACCTCCTTAACATTTCCCTTGCCATANGAGCCCACGACATTCATGTATACCTACTAATCTTTCTATAATTCGTGTAGTCTCTACCAAAATGCAACTATTTTTCTTACTTCCTATTCATTCATAACTCACAAGTGCCAAACAATTAGGACCATCACTAACATAAAAATGCAGCTTTTGGTCAAGCTTCGACAGTGCAATTAGCACGTGGGATTAGAAGTGAGGGTAAATTTCGTATTTTGTACCCGTTTCCCCAGAAAGAGGCGAGGCAGAGGCCCATTATAGCCATGGCCACAACCGAGCAAGCAGCTGGGACAGCTTGCGTGGGACTAAGGAATTGGGTCGCTAAAAGCCCAGCAAGAGTCGAGCTTTGCATTCCTGTGCATAATGAGATTGTTCGGCATACTTCTTCTTCTAACCTGCTACAGCACCGTATAAGGTTTTTTTATTAAAAGAAAAGAAAAAAGGAAAAATGAGCTTCGAGCATGAATAAAAAAAATATAGGAAAAATTTCGGATCATTTTTAATTATTTTCATCGTGTAGTCCAGTCATCAGTAAAATAACCTCAGCTGTACATGAACGCTATTGATGATCTTGAGCGTAAATAGGGGAAAATCGCT